AAGGGCATTTGATGGTTTTTCGTCTATCTAGTCCACTGCTCTTCCTTCTCCTTTCGCTTCATTTACATCTGTTTCATGGTTGTGGTTTTGCTTGGGAGTCCCAAATCTCCCCCCTCACAGATAAACAACACGAGGGTCTCACAGCAGGGACGGCGGCCAGTCAGAACGGGCGGAATCAGCCCCACAGAAGATTCCAACCGCGAAGGACTGCAGGTGCCTTAGACACAGCGATGGCCACAACCCCCTCTTTGCTCTTTAGGGGTACCCCGGGTCGACCGTGTTTCCTGACTTCAGTAACCCAGCCAGCTCTTTGTGGTGGACCCAGCAGTTCACGGAATTCCATGAAAGTCTCGCATTTGATGGCGTGTGGATTGTAAGTTGTCTCTCCAGGGGCAAATGTCCTTTGGGTATGAATCTGCCAGATCCCTAGATGACTTTTTACCCTAGTCGGTAATAAACGAGTCTGCTGTTTTATTTACTAAAATAGTTTGCTGCTGTATTACACAGTGGTATTCAAGTCTTTTTACTTCATTCTGAGTCTAAGTGCTGTGAGGGAGGCACCACAGAAACCTAGTGTCTGGAACGACCACCCACTAGTGGTTAGTGGGTGCATTTGCTTCCTCCTTTCCCCCCAGATGGTCCTTCACCTTAATATCATGGTTTCATTAGTACTGCAATTATGATTATCTGTACCGTTTTCTGATGACTAACATTAAGGTCAACCATTAAAGAATAATTCAGGTAGGCCCTCATGATTTCTTAAGGGAGAGCAGATGAGATTTCTATGAAATTTGAGAGATTATTATTGTCGGTTAGTGGGGATTTGACAGTACTTATTTTTCAGCAAGTAAAAAAGTAATTTTATCTCAAGTACACATTCTTTATGTTCCTCCTGAGCAGAATAAAAGAGATATGGAATTACAAAATGAAAACATTACCCTATCTTAGATTTTTTTTTAAACAACACAGAAAGAATCCAAGAAACACGGTCATTTTCACTGGATAAGAATCTACCATTGGAATGTGTGGGGTGTTTTGTTTTAACTAACTGCTGAAAATTAATTTATAAAATAGATCCAATACCATCAAGAGCAGGGAAGGACCTTAGAAACAATCGAATGCAACAGTTAGGATCTATAAAAATGAAATATGAGGGAGATTACACCTACAGTCTCAACCCCAGCTCATGGGAGATGTCAGACATTGTGGTCTAGCAAAATATTCCTGAGCAGCCGTCCGTCTGTAACATTCTCATGTTTGTGCCTCCGAAGGAAATGGATGAAGTGTCCAACCTTCTCCAAGGCAGCGATGGCGGATGTGACTCCAACAGCTTGAACTACCCTCCCTTCACGCCTCGTAAGTCTTTGCCCATGTGAGATGATTCAAGGCGTCTGAAACAGCCTCCGTACGACAGTGTGGCCAACAGCAAGATTATGTCCTGTCCAAGAGACGCCCAGGCACGCTGTCCACTCCTTGACTGGAGGCCCTAATCCATGGTTGGCCTCGGGTCCTCCTTGCGCTGCCATAGCCCAAGGACAGCCAGGGATGAAGGCTAGGAGCCCCCACCTTCCTTGACTGTGCCTCCTGTCTGGCTTTCTAGATTCTTCCATCTTGTTCACGTCCTCCAAATCCCACACGGCTGGTTCCATTTTAAACTACATGGCACTGTCAGAACACACCAAGGTGCAAACCACCTTTCATTGAAGTTACTTTAAAATTGTATTAACTTTTATTTAGTTATTTTGCATTAGCAAACTCTGATGCTTCAGCTGCCTTTAAGTCTTTCCTGTTTTATAAGGCCCATAATTCCAGTCCACACCAACTTTCAGATTCCTGATGTTGAAAGAATGCAGGGAAGGAGCATATGGAGAGGTTAGGGCTCCACTGTGGAAGCAAACAGAGCCCATCTCAATGAATTAACACAAGAAGGCTAACGTTTGTGCTCGCATTTCACTTTAGTTAGAGATAGGTGGCTCCCATCCACGTGATGACTTCCACTCTCATTTTCCCATCTCATAGTCCTTTCTTTCCAACGTCATGGGCAAAGGGGAGAGAGGAGAGGGGGGACTTTGGGGGACAGCATGGAAGTGGGGTGCATCTCACATGACTTTGTGTAGAGCACAGTCCCATGGCCTCAGCTTAACTTCAAGGGAAGGTGGGAAACAGAATCTTCTATCTCAGTCTACCTTGTCTTCGCCACTTTCATCTGGTTTGTCCAGTTTACTTGACCCCCTTGGATCAAGCTTCAGCTGTTTTGGTCACTGAAACAGTGAAGGACTTCAGGGGGTAATTCTCGACTTTAATTCCATTTACTTCCTTGCAAAGTTAACTCTCTGCTCCCCCAACCGGCCCTTTGTCCTTCTCAGCTCACGCTGCATTTCTCCCATCTTTAAATTCTGGGTCAGTCTGTCATGGCTCCCCTTAATCTTTTCATCTGATTCTTGGGGAAAAATATAATCTCCCTCCCGCCCCCACCCTCACCAAATGGTAATATCATACCTGTATTTTGTATACTCAATTATCTATGTGTAGAAACACATCCCAAGCTGTGTGTATATTTTATCTCAGCTGGACAGCCTACTGCTCTGAGCATTTTCCTAAACCTGCACAGCCCCCACTCACCGCCATTCTTTGGGAGATAAGGGGAGGCTGGGTACTTTTAATGGCCCCAGGTAGGAAGCGGACTTTATGAACAATGTTCGGCCTGGAAGAAAGGCGTGTGGAGGTACAGTATCCAGTAGGTCAAAGCTCTGGATGCTGCTTTGTTGAAATGGGTAGATGTACGTTGTGGTTCACTGATGGGTCTTCTCCACAGGAGTTTTGGACCGATTGCTCTTCGAGAGAACGCTTTGCATGGACACCGAGTTTTACGACGGCCTCCACTATGATGTCCACAGCTTGTACGGCTACTCCATGGCGCAGGCCACGGACTCGTAAGGACCTGGTTGTTTCTCTGATTCCAGATTGGGAGACGGGTGTCAGAGGGCATCTCCGCTCTTCCATAAGTCTATTTAAAAATGTTTTCTGTGGCTATAGGGAGGTAGAAACGTTGGTTTTATAGGATTTTTGAGGAAAGAGTTTTCTCTAATAATCCCTTGGTTTCTGAGCAGAAATCTTCTTAATGACCAGGAACGTTCCAGTATTTCCAGGGGCTAAAAAATGAACTAAATCAAACTCCAGTGCCGGTGGCTGAGTAGACTCACAGCGACCCCTTAGGGTCAGGCAGAACTGCCCCCTAGAGTTTCCAAGGCTGAGATCCTTTCAGAAGCAGTTTGCCACCTCTCTCTCCCACGCAGAAGCTTCACAAGCTTGGCACTTACCAACTACCAAACACCAGCTGTGCTGTGACTTGATTCTGACTCAGGGTATCTCGTAGGCACCCACGGGAACTGTTGCTTCATTGGAGTTTTAACGGCGGATGTGGCAGCAGTCAATTTCCAGCCCTTTCTGCTGAGGAAATGCTGGTGAAGTAGAGCCTCCAACTTTCCGTGCTAGGGATCCGCACACCCGGGAACTCCCTCGGATACTCGTAGGCAACAGTGCGTGAGCCACTAATAGCCCTGCCGACTTGGCTCCCATTACTACACATGGTGCGTTCCCCACACGTGGATGGTCAAACATGGCAAAGGCAATGTCGGGCACCCAGTTGCATGTGCATGGGGCACACTCATACTCGACATTATTCAGTTGTGATCTGGAATTCCAAGGACTGTCCTGTGTTTATCTGGGAATTCTACATCACAACCGCCTACATTTCCTCCCTTCTGCCCTCCACACCCTCGCTCTCAAACTCTCCTCTGTCCTACCTCACACTCACCCATCACATATACACCATACACTCAGACACCACACATCTACACAGACCACACCCACACCTTTCTATATACATACCACACATCACACACCACATATTCACACACTAACACTCAGACACCATACACTGCCACACCACACATGCACCATGCATATACAGTGACCACACGTACATACACTCATACATCACACATAAACACAGATCACACACACAAACCATACACTGTTGCATCACAAACTCACACACTTCACATATACACAAACCACACATGGTTAGATACATATATCACACATCACACACCACATAGCCACATACTAACACTCACAGCACACACGCATCGTATACTCTCACATCACACATTTATACACACAGACCCCATACATACCACAGCCCCTCACACACTCAAACCACATGCACCATACACCACGCACATACTCTAATGCACTTCACATACACCACCCTCTAACATATATTAACTGCCCACTTCCATACATGAGCACACATTATCTCACACACAGGTAATCACATTCACTCACAAACACACAACCCACACACTCTTCCACACATATTAACGTACATGTTTACACCTATGTGTACATACCACATAAACACACATGCACACACATATACCATACACACTCTCACACTCAGCCCTGCACACGCACCACAGAAACACACACACATACACACACATAAGTGCATTTTGAACATCCAGCAAGGAGATGGATGCTTCTGTCCTTTCCAACCTTGCCACATGGATTTTGCTCATGACTTATAGGAGGAGAGACAGCATTCCAGCTCAGCTTCTTCTGGCAGGAAGGAGGGAGGCTAGGCTAGGCTTAAGATTGTAGTTTTAGACTTGGAACACCAGCGGCAGAGCTGAAGCATCTGAAGATGTGTTGGAGACCTTCCCGTCCCAGGGCTCAGGAAAAGATGTGCCAGCCCTTTCCATCTTGTGTCCTCTGTGTTAGTGTCTCCAACCCCAGGGTGGGGCACAGAGGCAGGGGGTTGCAGGGTACTATGGGATAGTCCAGTTTCATTGGGCACCAGAGGCTCCCCTGGACTCTGCTCTGTAGTAGTGGGCAGCTCGCTGTCCTAGGGCTCCCCACTCTCCCCATCTGTCCTTCCTCAGCCTCTGAATTAGAACATTCTTTCTACTCTCTCAGGACAGATCAACTTTAGCACCCAAACCTCGAGCGTCTTCTTTCATTCTGTGCCGACACAGAGGTGTTGTTAGGTTACTGTGAAGAGTCCGTTTTGACTCATAGTGAGGTTGTGTCATCCGCACATCACAGATCAATAAGCGCCCTCGAATCCTGATACATGTACTTCTTCATGTAGTCCAGCTTCTCGGATTGTTTGCTCAGGATACAGATTGAAAAGTACCCCGAGCACACCTTTCCCGATTTGGAGCCACGAAGCATTCCCTTGCTCTGTTCAGATGACTGCCCCTTGGTCTGAGAACAGGTTCGTTCCCTCTGAGCTCAATGAAGTGTTCCAGAATGTCCATTCCCCTCAATGTCATCCACGTTTATCACGACGCATGCTGTCAGCTGCCTTTGCAGAGTTGATAAAACCTCTTTCTAGTGTTCTCTGCTTTGAACCAAGATCACCTGACACCAGCAGTACGATCCATCACGCCACAAGCTCCTCTCAGGTCTGCCTGGATTTCTGGCAGCTCCCTGCCTCCAGATTGCTGCAAATGTTTGGACTTATTTTCAGCAAATTCTACCTGCAGGTGATATTAAAGATATTGTTTGATAATGTTCACATTTTATTGGACAACCTTTACTTGGAACAGGCACAAGTATGGTTGGCTGGGTAAGAGCCATCTCCCAGATTTCTTGAGTGACTGCTTTCAAGGCTTCATCGTCTGGTTGAAACACTTCATTTGGCATTCTGTCTATTCCCGGAGCCTTGTTGTTGTGCAAATACCTTTAGTTCAGCTTGAACTTCCTACCTAAAGTCCCATTAGTTCTTGATCATCTACTGTCTCTTGAAATGATTGACTATTGACCGATTCTTTTTGGTTCAATGACTATGCATTGCTTCCATCTATTTTTGATGCTTCCAACCTCATTCAATATTTTGTCCAAAAAAGTCTTCCATTTTGAATCAGGAGGTGTGTTAGGTTGGGTTGTCTAGAGAAACAAACCAGGGGCACTCATCTATGTACAAGAAAGAACTCTCTATCAAGAAGCAATTTTACCCCAAGAAGGCTCCCAGCCCAGCCCAACTCAAGTCCACAGGTCTCATGCTAGCCAGGGCCCTCTTCACACTCATGGCTGTAGGCCAACGATGCCAAACGTGAAGCAGGAAGCAGGGAGCTCACATGCCAGGCAGTGCCGTGTCACATGGATATGAAGTCAGTGGAAGCATGGCCGGGCTCCGACAGCTCTCAGGCCCACATGGGGCCACCCCTGGAGGCAGGCAGTGTCCCAGGGAAGGCCCAGGGAGGAGAAAGGTAAAGTCGTAGAGAGGAATTGTCTACACTGGATCCTGCTCTTATAAAAAAGACCACGTCCCCAAGGAGGTGTCAACAAGCTTCCACTTGATGGACAGCTTGCGCCCCTCCCCAGCCAGGAGTGTCTAATTGACTAAGCTCTTAACTGTAAGACCTGATTTTTCCTTCAATTTTTTCAACTTGAGATATGCTTGGGAGGGTGCTCTTCCTTTTTGTCTGTTTCACTCCATGCCTTTGCTCATTTTAATATAATACTTTCCTTTGTTTTCTTGAATCGTCCTTTGGAATTCTTAGTCGGGCCTTTTACCCCATCATCTTTCTCTTACAAATAGGTCGCATAATATATGCAATACAACCAAAATACTTCCTGCTTTTAGTTGTATAAAATGCGTCATAAGTCATCCTTTGAGAATTAGTATTTGCAGTTAATGTAATTTTGCTTAGACGAAGATTTTTTCTGACATTGATAACTGCTGAGGACAAGTTCTGGGCTCCAGAGGCACAATTGACTGGGGCCAGATCACATTGATCCCTCCCTCCTCTCTAAGCAAGGGCTGGTGTTGTGATAAACTGTAGGCATCACGGTGTAGAAACAAGGGGCACTGGTAAACCTGTCCAAGGGCAGAGATGACTCCAATGGTCAAAGACAGTTGCAATGTAGTACCAACCAAAGGGCCAAACTACAACCAAATTCAATAAAATGGAGAACACCTGATAAAGACTCCAGGAGCCTAGAGACATTTATGGGAATGTCGAGGCGTATGCTGTCTTATAAGAGTACCACAATTTTTCTCAAAGAGGGAATTAGGTATTTAGAAATACTAAGCCTAATTCTGTGATGCTCACCTGCCTGACACGATTGCCGAAAACAAAATGGGTACATAAGCTAATGTGGTGAAGAAAGCTGAAGGTGCCCAGCTATTAGAAGATATAGCATCTGGAGTCTTAAAGGCTTGAAGTTAAACAAGCGGCCATCTAGCAGGGAAGCAACAAGCCCACATGGAAGAAGTCTGTGTGATCACAAGGTGTTGACAGGATCAGGTATCAGGCATCAGAAGACCCAAAAGAAACAATCATATCAATGTGAACGAAGGGGGTCAGAGTGGAGACCCAAAGCTCATCTCTAGACGATTGGACATCCCCTCACAAAGGGGTCACAAGGAAGGAACGAGTCAGCCAGAATACAGTAGCATGGATCAAACACACAATATTCCTCTAGTTCTTTGATGCTTCTCCCACCCCCACTATCATGACCCAGTTCTACCTTACAAATCCGGTTAGAACGGAGCATGTACATTGGTACAGAGAAGAGATCTTGAGACACGGAATCTAGGACAGTTAAACCCCTCAAGAACAGTAATGAGAGTAGCGATACCATGAGGGCAGGGGGGAAAAGGGGGAGAATGGGGGGACTGATTGCAATGATCAATGTATAACTGCGCCCCCCCCCCAAGGGGAAGAACAACAGAAACGTGAGTGAAGGTAGACAGCGAACAGTGCAAGATCTGAAAATAACAATTAGTTATAATTTATCAAGGGTTCATGAGGGCAGGAGGGTGGGGGAGGGAGGGAAAAGAGAGGAGCTGATACCAAGGGCTCAAGTAGAAAGAAAATGCTTTGAAAATGGTGATGGCAACATATCCACAAATGTGCTTGACACAATGGTTGGATGGATGGATGGATGGATGGATGGATGGATGGATGGATGGATGGATGGATGGATGGATGGATGGATGGATGGATGGATGGATGGATTGTGATAAGAGCTGTAAGAGTCCCCAATAAAATGATCATAAAAGACAAGAAAAGAAAGACTGGGCCTGCTGGCACACTTGGATGCCCACTGCTGCCTTACAGACAAGGTGAGATCCAGACATTCACAGCTCATTGCCCACCCCATCACGGTCTTCCTTTGCAGGGCCTTGAAGGCTGTCTTCGCCAATCAGAGGAGCCCCATCTTATCCCGCTCCACTTTTGCTGGCTCTGGCAAGTTTGCTGCTCATTGGTTGGGGGACAATGCAGCTACCTGGAACGACCTCCGGTGGTCCATCCCCAGCATCCTTGAGTTCAATCTGTTTGGTATCCCCATGGTAAGCTTCCCTTCCAACCTAGGAAGTCTGGACCTTGGCATTCTTTCCTTGAGGATTCTTTCCTTAAGGAGTAGGTGTTGTCCCATGAGTCGTAGTGGAAAAGCCAATGTGTGTCAGTTGTCCGAGTGGCCTTCTGAAACCGGAATGGTCAACTTTGTCATTGGGTTGGCATCCATGGACTCTCCGGGGTTAGAGAGGAGGCCCCAGGAGTGGAATGTATTCATGCCACAGGCAATCCAACCAGCAGAACATCAGTGGGTAGGAAAGGGTGAAACCAGGGACTGGCTGGGAAGAAACTCCTGTGACGCAAGGACCACTGGCTTCACGCTGCTTCAGTCTTCCTTCTTCAGTCCATTCTGTGGTGCATGCTTGCTCGTTTCCCTGGTTATAGCTAAACGGGTGGGCATATCTCTCTTTGGTAGGTACACAGTTAATGCTTATGCCTCCCTCTCTGTCCACTGTGTTTGTGTGTATGTGCAATAACTCTCCAGGTAGGTGCCAACATCTGTGGTTACCAAGGAGACACCACCGAGGACCTCTGCAGAAGGTGGATGCAACTCGGGGCTTTTTATCCACTGTCCAGGAATCATAATGGGCCTGGCTTCATGGTAAGACACCCCCAACAAGGACCGGGAACTGCCTGAACTGTCTAATCTACGTGCGTGTTCTCAAAGATGAGTTGAGGAAAATCCTATAGGTTGTTTCTAATTAAGGAACAGGTTGTTTCTAATTAAGGAACAGGACAGGTAAATCTTCAGGATATGAGAGTGGTAGTCTAGGATGGGAGAGTGTATACTGAGCTTTGTTGTTCTCATTTTTGTTGTCGTTGTTGTTGGAAACTCCATGCTTTCTTTGCCCTTCTCCTCTCCCATTTACCTTTCTCTGCCTCGTACTTCTTATTCTTCTCCTTTTACTTCCCCTCCTTCTTCTCTGTCTTTTCTTCTCCTCCTCTTTTCCCTCCTCTTTCTTCTTCACTGCACTTCTCCTCTTGTCATTATTGTTACCAAGGGAAGTATTTTTAGAAGTCTCTACAAAATAGACTGGAGGGAATACAGGTGGAGATTGAAGCCCCACCCACCATGGTCCTTTCATCTCCATCAAAACCCTGTGGGATTTCTTCGACACCCCAGCGCTCTCATAGGGTGACCTCAGAAGACTTGAGTCCAATTTAAACTCTTTCATCTGCTTGCAAGCTCACGGTCTTCAATGTCATTTTCTTTTCCGTAAAATACAGGGACAGGTGTTTCTGGAATCACCTTGGCCTTCCCTAAGAGTCTCTGATGAGGAGATAACTTTTAAACAAACATGGAAATGCTCAGTGAATGACAGTCTTTCCTCCTAGGACCAGGACCCCGCCTCCTTTGGTGCTGACTCCCTGCTGCTGAAGTCCTCCCGGCATTACCTGAACATCCGCTACACCCTGCTGCCCTACCTGTACACGCTGTTCTACCGCGCCCACACCCGAGGAGACACGGTGGCTAGGCCCCTGCTGCATGAGTGAGTCCCCTGACCGCCTGGAGCCTAATTGCACTCTACAAACGTTCAACAGTGCCCTGAACTTGTGATGGCTTCAACTGGCGCCCTGAGCTCTCCTCTCCTTTCCCAGGTTCTACCAGGACCCCGCCACCTGGGATGTGCACCAGCAGTTCCTATGGGGGCCCGCACTCCTCATCACACCTGTTTTACATGCAGTAGGTCGACAGTCCAGACCACAGGATGGGATGCCACACACACACACATGGCCCTAAAGCTGAGCAACCATGCCTATGTTTAAACATCAATGGGAGAGGGAGCACCCACAATCAGAAATAGGGGGAAATGTCAGTCTTGGTTCTTTAGCAGCATCAGGAGTAAAAACCACCCAAAAAGTCCATGTCCACAGGCTGTGGCATTTCCGTGGGCTTTAACAGTGCGGGTATATGGACCATCTCTGTGTTTCTCTTTGTCCAGAGACTGGGTTGGGAAGGTGTGGAGAGTAGCAGGGAGGGAGAGGGGCACTGGGCAAGGAGAGATGTTCCCTTGGAGTCCAGGTGGAAAGGATCACAAGTGTCCTACTCAAGCCTGGCCTGTTGCAAAGGGCTGAGGAATTCTGGGGGAAAAGATACGGTGGAGGATCCTTCTGGTATTTGAACCCCACTAGGTTCTCTTAGTCAGTACAGAGCCTGCTGGCAGGCTCACCTGCTGGGTGCTCACCATCTTCCCCTACTTGTAAGATTCTCAGGAGCCTCAGGGCAAAAGACCCTTGTTTTCTAGATAGAGGTTTGGGATAGCTACTCAGGATTGCGAGTCTGTGTTTCCATTTGTAGACCGGGTGGTCCCATCCCCCTCCACGCCTGCCTGCAGCAGAGGAGGTGCTGTTCTTGTTTTAACAAGGGATGAAGGATGGTGTTCATGGGACCTGCTCTTGTTGTTTCCCTAGGACTCGGACCCAGTGAGTGCCTACTTCCCCGATGCCCTCTGGTATGACCACGAGACGGTGAGTGAGGAGCCTCTGTGGGCTAGGGACCTGTCCCTGGCAAAAGGCGTTGCTGATGGTGCAGCCATGGGGTCCTGGGGTCAGAGGAGAGTATGGGGTTTATACTTTGTTCACTGGGGCCACTTTCCTGCAAAAAAAAGCCTTTCCAAAATGTAGCATGACAAAACATGAATTGCTGGAATAGGTGCATGGAAGTGTCTACAGCCTCCTACTGGCCACCCGGCAGCTGTTGTAACTTGCCCTGACTGTTGGCTGAAATAACTTAGGGGAAGAAAGCCCAGTGATGAAACACTAAAACCAAAAGACCCACAGCCTTGGAGTCGGTTCTAACTCCTAGACACCGTGTATGGGGTGTCCAAGGCTGTAAATATTTCTGGGAGCAGACAGCCTCAGCTTTCTTCTGAGGAATGACTGCTGGGCTTGAACTGCCAACCTCGAGGGTAACAGTCCCACATTCACCCGACAGTGCCATACGTCACTTCGTGGAATAAAATAAAGAAATGGGTGGTTTGGATTTCAGCTCTGTTCGTACCTGCCCATATGCCTGTAGATGTCCCTTTACTTTGAGGACATCCGTTTTCTCTTCTTTAAAATGCGGTAACTGGAGAAGATGATCCCTAAAGTCCTCCACCTGCTCCCGCCTCCAAGCCTGAGAGCCTGCCACCTGGTCTGTTTGCTTTCTGTTGATCAGGGAGTGGCCATCCCGTGGAGGAAACAATGGGTGCAGATGACCTTCCCCAAAGACCAGATAGGACTTTTTCTTCGAGGGGGCTACATATTCCCTACCCAGATGCCAAGCACGACCACAGAGGCAAGGTATGCTCCACGCAGTTCTATGCAAGGAGCCTTCACAAGCTCCAGTAGGTGGACAGGCGCTGTGGGAGGGTGGCCAGGAAGTGGGGCTGGGTGAACAAAGGGAAAATGTCTCGGCTGTCAGCACACTTTCTGTCCAAGCTGGTCCAGGATGGACATCTCAGCCAACACTTGGCAGGGACACAAGTAGCTTCTCCTTTACTGTACCTCCACACTCTTTTGGCTGTCGTTGATAGGAATAGCAGAAAGAATCAGTCATGAGGACTCCTCTAGGGTGGGAGATGGTTGTCTTGTGGATTCCAGAGTAATGTGGAACCCACATCAAGTTAAACTGGAGATTGCTGTTGATGCATGCCTTCTGCTTGATTGCAACTCGTGCAGATGCGGTAGGACTGAGTAGAAGCACTCTAATGCATTTCTTGGGCTGAAGTCTTCATGGGAGCTGGTCACCAGGTCTTTCCTCCCGCTGGTGAAAGGTTCCCATGGGCAACCTTTGGATTAGCAGCAGGACTGTGTAACCATTGGGGCCATTAGGGCGCCTGAGATAAGACTCTCAGTCTGAGATAAGGCTTTTCATATGAGACTCAGCACAGTGTGAAGGTTAAGCATATAGACTCTGGGTACTGTCTGGGGTCAAGGCCCTGCTCTGCTGGTTGGTACTGGGGGGTGTGGCCTGGGGCTACTTCTCTGTGGTTTTTTCTCCCTGGTAAACTGGGGGTGATGATAGTTCTACTCTGTAGGGTTATGACAAGGATCACCTGAGTTAAAATACATAGAGCACGCATTATAGTACACTATAGGCAACAATTATTATTCATCGTTAGTATCATCACAAAGCCTGCTTTCAGTAGGCTCTGCCTCCTTCCTCCATGCTGCATGCCACTTACTCTCACCCTTTACCCCCACCTACCCACACTTGGGTTCCATCTTTCCACAAAATGTCAATTTCTCCTCTGCTTCTGGGATAGACCCTGGGTTAACTCTTCCTGGGTCATGGAGGGGGTGGCTAGACACAGCTCCACTTCCTCTTCAACCCCTGCAATGAAGACGGGCTCTTTTCCAGTCGGAAGAACTCCCTGGGACTACTGGTTGCCTTGGATCACAGGAGAGAAGCACAGGGGGCGCTGTATTGGGATGATGGCATGTCCACAGGTAAGACTGCCTTGTAGGGCCCTCACCGGGCTTCCAGCGGATGACGTCAGCCATTGTGGCTGCCCAAAACGGCACTGACACGACTCGTCTTATTGCTTACTTCTGCAGCTTAGGGTCCCTGGGTTAAAGAACATTCCAAGAGAGGTTAGTTTGTGTTAGCCAAACACGATGCATTAAAATATGCTTCCAATAAAATGTGTCTTGACATTGCCCCTTCACGGCCACAGACATAACAAGATTTAGTCTGCTGCTTCATTCTGCTGACTATCATTGTTAATGCCAAATGGCATGGACTGCTAATGTTGTTGTTAGGTGCCAGTGACTCGGCTCTGACCCATATGGACCCCGTGCACCCCCAGAAGGACACATTGCACAGTCCTGCACCATCCTCACAATGGTTCCAATGCCTGAGCCCATTGATGCAACCACTGTGTCCATCCATCTCACCCAGGGCCTCCCTCTGTTTTGTTGGCTTTCCACTACACCAAACATGGCCTCCTTCTCCAGGGACAGGTCTCTCCTGACAATATGTCCAAAGTCTGTAAAACTAGGTCTCGCCATTGCCATCCTTGTCCCTAAGGAGCACCCTGGCCTTACGTCTTCCAGTACAGATCGGTTTGTCCTTTGGCAGTCCATGGTATGTTCATTGTGCTACTCCAGCTCCACAATTCAATGCACCGATTCTCCTACGGTCTTCCTTATTATTCAGTGTCTAACTTCCATGTGCCTGTGATGCAATGGAGAATACCGTGGCTTGGGCAAGGCACATGTTAGATCTCAGAGTAACGTCCTTCCTCTTCAATACGCTAGAGCGGTCTTGGGCACCAGATTTACCTAGTGCAATATGTCTTTTATCTCTTGACTGCTGCTCCCACGAGCATTGAATTTGGATCCAAGTAAGACAAAAGCATTGACAACTTCAACCACATCTCCTTTGATCATGATGTGACCAATTTGTCCAGTTGTGAGGATTTTACTCCTTCCTTCTATAGCTATCTACTTCCTATTTCCTTACTGCTAAAAGATTTGGTTGTTTTTTTTTTAAGTACTGTGTTGGTTACTATACAGGCAGAAATATCTAAAGTGTGGTCCATGGTTCTCCAGTGTAAGATTTCCACATACATACCGCTAAGAAGCATACGATCTGTGGTTATATAAAACCCTGCCCTGCATATAATGCACAATGATCGCCTAATATCTATTGGCTAAGTGGTGTCCCCAGGTGGCATGACAGAGTTAACACTGCTGACCTAAAGCTTGGGGATTCACGTTCACCTGGAGGTATCTCGGGAGAAAGGCCCGGCAAGCTGCTTCTGAGGATCAGCCACGGGAGCCCCTGTGGAGCATCCCTCTATGCTGCCACACGTTGAGTCACTGTGAGTTAGAGTGGCCTTGGCGGGGGCTGGTGTGAGGGCTTTGTTTTCCCGGCTTGTTTTCTCCTACGTGCTGAGGATATGAAGATGGTGGCACAGAGATGAGTCTTTTGAGATCCCGCAGGAGAGAGGGGATGCGCACGTCGATAGCTGTGCTGCCGGCCCAGCTGCTCTGTGCCAGGCAGATGGCACCACAGCCCGTCCTGCAGTACAGAGAAGGCACTGCGGGCTGAGGTGTTTCAGGAGATGGCATGTGGGGACAGTGTGGGGACTGTGGCTTTATGAGTGAAGAATGAGCCCTGGCTCCTCAGCATCCCTGCTAATGGGGCCCCCACTTTTCTTTGTAGATTCTGTGGCCAAAGAAAATTACCTCCTGTACCACTTCTCTGTGGCTGCTGTAAGTACAACATGTGAGGATCCCGCAGGCTGCACGGGCTTGTGAGAATGTGGCTCGTGGAGGACTGGGCTCATGGGCTAGGAAGGGCATTTGCTGGACTTTGATACAATCCAGCCTCTGCTGAGTTTATTCTGATTCCTAACCAGTAATTCACATTCCAGTGCATTCTGTCTGAGGGCAAAGCTAATTGCATCTCTGGTCTGTGCTCTGAGGGGGTTCAATGGTAACTCAAGCCAAGTGGGGACTCTGCAAATGGATTTTGGGCTTTCACTGTCATCCATAGCCTTCTGCAAACCAGGTGCTCGGAATTAAAGGTCTAATGAAATTCCTTCCTCTGATCTTGGATTTTATGTTCTGTAATCCTTGGATAACAAAAGCTTTTGTGCATCTTCTGTGTGAACTTAGTTGACACCTCATTTATATGGCTGCTTGTTTTTGGACAAACTTTTAAGATCCCAGGCACTATGGCAATAAAACTGTTTAAAAATATATCTGCCTGAATTCTGCAAGGAACTCATTTCCCAGGGGCCAGGGGTGAGGGGCACACAACCTTTGAGTTTTAACTGTGGCACTCTGGCATCCAAGACAAGTTACCCAACTTGAGGCGGCAAGTGTGAGAGGGATCTGGGCAGAGGTGGCAAGATCACTTAGGTGGCTGCTTTCTAAACTGACTTTTCATTTCCCCCTCCCCACCCGCTTCTCTCCAGAACCGGCTGCAGGCAAAGCTCATAACGAATAATTATACAGACCCCAATAACCTCCAGTTTACAGAGATCAGGATCTTGGGAATGGACAAGGAGCCCACTCACCTTACAATCACTGTGAGCAGCATTCCTGCCCTGTGTTCCAACTGTTCAAACATCTACAATGCTTCCACGAAGGTGAGTGATTGCTCTGTCTGGAAGGGCAGGTGTGGACAGTCCTGCCCTGGGCTCGGCCAGCCACCTTTCGCTGGCCCTTTGGATGGAGACAGTGGACAGCCAGAGTCTACCATGGTCTAGGAAGACCAGACCTGCTTCTGATGGGCCATGGGCTGGGGTTGTGCCTGCGTGCTGCACAGGACAGTGGAGGGGAATCATGGGAGAAGGCACACTCTCTGAGCAAGTTTGAAACTAGACTGTCTCATTTTTCTCCCACGGAGAGGCTAGTGGGTTTGAACTGCCACCTTTTGAGTTCACAGTCACCACCATCACCACACAATGCCACGGGGCTTTAATAGTATGTTCTTGTTGTTAGGTGCCCTCACGTGGGTACCAACTCTTTGACAACCCTGATGTACGGCTGAACGAAACACTGCCCAGCCCTGCACCATCCTTACCTCTTTACCAAGCAGGATGCCTTTTCCGGGACTGGTCTCTCCTGACTACGTGTCCAAAATATGTGAGAGGAAGTCTCGCCATCCTTGCCTCCAAGGGGCACTCTGGGTGTGCGTCTTCCAAGACAGACTTGTTGGCTGTTTCGGTCATCCGTGATCTTTTAATAGTCCTCACGAGCACCATCCTTCGACTGCATCGACTCTTCCCTGGTCTTCTTGATTCGATGCCCAACTTTCCCATGCCGGAAGGTTTACAGGTAGCTGACAACTCCCAGGAAAGCTATGGACTGTCCTTCAAAGACAGTCTGTCGTGTGGACGAGAGGACACACACATGGACATGGTCTCCAGAGTGGGGGCAGGGGGCTGAGCAAAGTTGTCACTAAGTCATCTGAGCTCGAAGTCCTCAACCGTGAGATCTCGGGGAAGACCCGCCTTCCCCTGTAGCTCAGTTTCCTATCCGTGAAGTGGATGCTCTGCAGCAGCTGCAGCCCAGGTGCTCCTTCAGGATGAGAGCAGGTGATGTGTGTACAGTGGCTGTGGGAACACTCGGCCCACTAAAGGTAGTTGGATTATCAGAGGCCATCCTGTGATCACCACTGCTCTTACAATGGATGCGCACCATACCTTGTGACTGACACACCAGCAACTACAGCTTGACCTTGCATCCTGCACTTCTAACCCGATGGAAGCTCCCCACCACATCTCCCATTGACTTCCTCAAGGGTCGCACGAGGTCCTTCCTCGACGCCTTTCACTCTCCTGGGAAGGAAGCTGAAGCCCCAGAGGAGAAAATGTCAGCTCCCTGACATCCCAGGCGTGGTGGCCCAAGGAGGGACAGCTCTCCCAGTCCTGACCTGCAGACCAACAGGGATATGAACGATGGCTCTGACCCTCCAAGTCCATCAACACACCTCCATCCTTTCTCTCCAGGTGGTGACCATCACTGGCATCCAGGAGCTGGCCCTAGGACAGGAGTTCTCTGTTGAGTGGACGCTTCTGGTCAGTGACCTGGAGAAGTTCGACTGCTACCCGGAGGACGAGGCTGTGACGGAGCAGCTCTGCGTGCAGCGGGGGTGCCTGTGGGAGGTGACTGGGTGCCCAGGGCACCGTGCTGGGTGGGAGGGTACAGTGGGCACCTAGGGGACACCTTCCAGCTCTGGTAGGAGTGGGTGTGCTGTCCCCATCCCGTGGGGCACCCAGAGAACACATGTCCATCTCTGGTGCCCGATGTGGTCGCCCTCTAGGAAGAAAACCGCACTGTAGCCTGAGCCACAAGGATCAGTATCGTCCCAGAAACTTCCAAACACAGCCCTGTGCTGCCTCTCTCTTTCCAACAGCCACACACTAAAGGCCCCTTTCATGTATCTAAGGAGCCATGTGTTATAAGCACTGGGCTGTCTTTCAACCCCACCAGCTGCTCTGGAAGAGGGAAATACGAGGCCGTCTGCCCCTCACAGTGATGGCCCCGAGGACCCATGGAGCCTCTTCTGCCTCATCTTCTAGGGTGGCTCTGACTTGGAGTCTCCTGGGTGTTTGGGTTTGGGGGGTTTCCTTGTTTATTACTCCTTTAATTGTTTAATATTGCTTTGATGGGATAGTTTACAGAGTCAACTGGCTTTCCATTCAAACCTCATAACCCATTGTGTGTGTTGTGTCGTTGTCTGCTTCCCCCCACCCCGTGTCACAGCACCCTCCCTGCCTGCTCCCACATTCCCTGTTTCCTGTGATCCTGCTCCATGATCCCTTCCTGCCTCCGAGCTGTCTCCCAGGACAGACGCTGCCCTGGCATCAGTGCTCACCCATGCACCCATGTGTGCTAACGCTGAATGCTAAGCCCCAGGAGAGCGTTCCACAAGGCCCCCTGGGGTGACAAGGTCACCCTCTCTGGAGCAGGGTCCTGCCCAGAGTCCCATCTCCAGACCTATTCTTGTTGGCCCCTCACCAGGACTGGAGGCCCGGGTGTGTCCTTTCCAGAGGGACCCAGGAAACCACCTTCTTTGCAAACAAGAGTGTGACCAGACCCCCTGTTTCTAGCTCCCGACTGCCCCTGGAGTGCCCAGCTGTTTCTACGACACCATCCCCCGCTACGCAGCCAGCAATATCCAGTACCTGCCCACCGGCATCACCCTGGACCTCAACCTCCTGCCAGACCCCTGGGGCTCCCCTGTGACAGCGGGCACGCCCCGCTCACCCCGGGACCCTGCCCCTGCGGCTGACCCCTTCTCCTCCAGGGCCACCACTCTGCGCCTGAGCGTGGTCTACCACTCGGAGACCATGCTGCAGTTCAAGGTAATGGCCGCTGACTGAGGAGGGGCAGGGTGGGGAGGGAGCCGATGGCAAGCCAGCGTCACCAGGCCGTGCACAGAATTGGCGGGGGATCGCTCCTGACTCAGGCATCCCCAGGCCAGCGTCCTGAGTCCTGGGATAACCTCCGGGCACAGGCTCGCAGTCACCCAGCAGTCCTGCTGCTTGAACTGGAGCAGCTGCTCAGATAGCCACAGGGTGTGGAGACCTGGAGGGCCCAGGGGCAGCCTAGGGCCTGGGATGGCCAAGGGTCACATACATAGTGCACATGCTTACACACACACCACACACTCACAGGTACATACGTGATCACCTGCTCATAAAACGGACTGTCGAAAGTACTCCTTCATACCCAAATCCACAAATCCACAGTCACACATTCATGTATGTTCACACACATCCATACATGCACACTCAAACACATATGCACTCGTACATGCTCATACATCAGCGTGCACCTGTTCAACCATCACACATACTCATAAATGTACCACACCCATACTCACTCATATACTCAGACAAACTCACAACTCACACACACACACACACTCGCACACACTCACGTCCACATACACGCTCACACACATACACAAGCCATAGTCCACATAGCCACAGGTACACAGTCACACACCTTTACACGCACACCTCTCTCCGTCTCCATCATAGCGTCTCCATTGGGAGCCCACCCCACCTCCTCGATCTTTGAGTGGGCGTCACCGAGGCCTCAGCTGGGTGACCCCTGTCTCCTTGTGCTGAGGGGTCTTGCCTCTTGAGGTGGTCCCAGCTGGCCAGGAGCCCCGGGGACCAGGTGGTGTGGTCAGGCATGGTGGGCTTCAGGTCTGAGGCCCTTCAGAAAGCGTCCTTCTCTCTCTGCAGCTCTACAATTCCACCAGCAGAAGGTATGAGGTCCCTGTGCCCCTGAACATCCCACCCACTCCAGATGGCTCGCCTGAGAAACGCCTGTATGATGTCAGCATCCAGACCAGCCCCTTCGGGGTCCAGATTCGCCGGCGCAGCTCCCAGGGTGTGATGTAAGCAGTGCTTGAGGGTGGGGTGAGGAGCTTGGATCCATGTCCATGTTCACTTGACATACAGGGAACGTACAGTCATCCTTCCGGATCCATGGGAAGGGGGTTGGTTCCAGGACGCCAACAGATACCCCAATCCATGGATGCTCAAGGGACTTCTGTAAGATGGCACAGTGTTTGCACATCCTCCCATAGACTGTAAATCCTCCCTTGATTCCTTCTAATTTTGAACATGATACAAATGCTTGCAAAAGATTGCTTGAACCACTTAATCACTTTTTTCCTCCATTATTTATTTTTGAAAAAAATCATGCTATTGGGGGCTCTTATAGCTCTTATCACAATCCATACATGCATCCATTGTGTCAAGTACATTTGTACGTATGTGGCCATCATCATTTTCAAAATATTTTCTTTCTACTAGAGCCCTTGGTATCAGATCATTTTCCCCTCCCCCACCTTCTCTTCCTTTCTCCCTCCTTCATGAACCCTTGATAATTTATACATTTTTATTTTTCATGTCTTACACCGACTGCTGTATCCCTTCACCCACTTTTCTGTTGTCTGTCCCCCTGGAAGGGGGTTATATGTAGATCAATGTGATTGGTTCTCCCTTCTTCCCCCTCAAATATTTTTGACCCTTGATTGGTTAAATCCCTGGATGTGGAACCCGCAGATATGGAGGGCCAGCCATGCCTCCATTTCTCCACTCTTGGGTGAGTAGTTCATTTCTTACTCAACACCGAATCAACATGGAAAAGCAGTCAACCAACGGGTTCATAACAGGGATGGGGCATTTGATTTCAGAGGAAGGGCACTAGGCCTCCTGGTTGTCCTGATTCTTAAGCGGGGTGCGGAGAAATCTGTTGACTACGTACCACACATGACCCAAGGGACCCATCACTTCTATACTTTGGCTCACAAAGGAGCCACAAGGGAAGAGAGGCAGGCCTGTCTGGGACCACTGCAGATTTAGAATCTCTCACCACGCTGAGTTTCTCGTCCCTGGTCCTGCTGGGTGAAGGGCAGTCCTGGTCCGGAACTGGACTTCCTGCCCACTAGAAGCTGTCGATTGTGGGTGTATCAGGGTCTTCCTGTGATGACATCTGACCACATGCCTGGGTTTCCGTCTGTCAGAAGCTCTGACCAATCCACAACAGTTGTTGTAAGAGCTGCCCATACTTTACTGGAAATTTTGCCGAAACTTTTTTTTTTCAAATTAGCAAATTTTCATTGTTTTCCCAAAGAGACCTTCCCTGCCCCACCATACACATTCATCATACACTGCAACCAAAGAAAGCAGTGTGCATGAAATACGAGAAAATCAATGAAAAACCCATACATAGGTAAGGAGGCCCTAGTCTAGCGCACAGCTGAGCCCAGGTCATCTAAGGAGGCTCGAGAGTTTTGTTCATAAGAATGCCTGCTAGCAAGGGCACCAGCAAGGTCGCTGGTTGGTCTGTACGTCAGTCTTGGGTACTTGAAACGTTTCTGTGTGTCGTTTCCCCTTAACGTTCCCTCTCTCATTTTCCTGGATGGGATAGCTCTGCCTATCGCTGGACAATGATGGCTGAGCCCTCACTCCCTGATTTTTCTGCCCAGTCAAGCTGCATGCCTAGCACAGGACTCTAGAGATGAGCAGATGAATCAGCAGTCGGGGCCTCCCTCTAGGAGTCCAGGGTCCAGAAAGACTCTTTCTGCCGAGTGCAGGGAAGAAGAGTAGACACAGAGTCTTAATGCTCACCGAGGTCCTGCCTCTTGTAAGGACCTGGCCCCGCTCACAGGTCTTACATCTGGCCGTGCAGCTAGGTGTGGCCCAGACAGATCACTATGCTGAACCTCTGGGGCAGTGACAGAGCCTGGACTCCCACCGTGGGGTGTCCCTGTGTGCCCCGAATTTCCTCAGCCTGGCTCTTGTGTTGCAGCTGGGACTCTCAGCTCCCTGGCTTCACCTTCAACGACATGTTCCTGTCTGTCTCCACCCGCCTGCCCTCCCAGTACCTCTACGGCTTCGGGGAGACAGGGCACGAGACCTTCAGGAGAAACACGACGTGGCACACGTGGGGCATGTTTGCTCGGGATGAGCCCCCTGGGGTAAGGACACAACTACCACCAAACCTGTCGCTGCCCATTCAGTGCCAACTCACAGAGACCCTGCAGGGCAGCGTAGAGCTGCCCCACAGGCCTTCCAAGGCTGCTGCCCTCGTCCTTCTCCCGTGGAGCCCCTGGTGGGTTTGCACGGACCACCTTTTGAGTAGCAGCTGAGTGTCCAATCACGGTGCCAACAAAAGCAGAAAAGCTAGCCTAGTCATTTGACTCCCAGCTGCCCTGAAGGAGAGAGGAGACTGATCCACAGGGCTCCCAAGCCTGCCATCTTCATGAAAGCACTCTTATCTTTCCCTCCTGGAGTGATAAGGACAGATAGACATGCTGTTTCCCTCTCTATCCATCCGTGGTCATCTTTAGGCCCCTTTATGCCTCCCTATGCCCAGGGGCAATGGTGAAGGGCCCAGATATGACACGAGAGTTCAGCAGTGTGAGTCCCCCAGCCATCCACGGGGGAAAGACAAGACTCTGCTCCCGTGGAGAGGTCAGCCCTGGAGACCCTATGGGGCACTTCTACTCTGTCCTCCGGGGTCCTGACACATCAGAATTGGCTTGAGGGCAGCGGGCTTGTTATTCATGGAACTTCACCTTCTACTGACACTTCCTAAGGCGGGGCCATGGTTTGGTCTCTAAAAGCCTTCTGAGTTTTCCACCCCACGGATCATACATTATCTGCATCCTACAAACTTGCGTGGAATGTATTCTCCCTGTCCAGTCCATTGCTAAGTGCTTTGTTCTAAACTTAGGACACTGTCATTGCTCGGGGATCCTGATTGGTTGCAGCATCATCAGCGCTGTGACAGATCGTGTGATCATCACTGAGGAGGGTGCAGGGATGGGAGGACTCGTTCCTCGGGATGGGAGGGAGCGTCTGAGGACATGACCTTGAACAGAGTCTCTAATGCAGAGTGGGAGCTTGCTCTCTGGGCTGGATATAGACTTGCTCAAATTCTTTCTTCCGAAGAGCCCACCTTCTCCCTTCTTGCCTCCCCCAGTTCAAGAAGAACTCCTATGGTGTGCACCCCTACCACATGGCTCTGGAGGCAGATGGCAGTGCCCACGGCGTGCTCCTGCTCAACAGCAACGCCATGGGTGAGACTGGGCACATGCCCCAAGCCCCTTGTCAACAGCTGTGCCCATCCCATTGGGATCTGGAACAGCAACACACATGGGGACATCCAGGTCAAGTAGCATGTGACAAATAAAAAATTTTCCGGTCACCCACGAAAACCCAGACGTGCTCAGTTCTACCGTCACACGAGTCAGAGTGGACCCGATGACAAGGGTTTGATTGGGTTTCACTGTAGGCCCGGAGTGAGGGGAAACTATGGACGAAACTTGGTTCCTGCTCTTGTGTGGTTTTGTGTGGCTGTGAGCTTGCAGGTCCTTTCACAGAGAGGCATGCAACATGTTCTCTTGGGCTGCCTGCACAGCCATCGTTGATCATCCCACTGGGTGGAAGACCCTCTACAGAGCGCGCATTGGAGGAGGGAGGGAGAGCAGCTGGGCACATTTTAAGGCAGGGTCTCCAGCCGGTGGTGGCTTAACCGCTCTGTTGACATTCCCATCTCCTATCTCTTCTTACAGATGTGACGGTCCAGCCCACCCCGGCCCTGACATACCGCACCACAGGAGGGATTTTTGACTTCTATGTGTTTTTGGGGCCAACCCCTGAACTTGTCACTCAGCAGTACACCGAGGTTGGCAGCCATTCTCTCCCCTGGTGAATCATCAAGTGCATACTGGTCAGCACTGTCGTCTTAGGATTGGGCTAGACCTCCCAACATCCCCACCGTGTTATCACCAATGATCCTGAAGTCAAGCCAGATTGGGCTTAAGCAGACAGAAAGGCACATTAGCAAATCCTCCACATTGTTATTGCTACACACTAGAAAGTCCGTTCTGACTCACAGGAACCCTATGTACCACCAAGCCCAGCACTACCCAGTCCTCTCCCTGTCACCACCATGGCTAGGTGTGAACCCATTGTTGTAGCCATAGCATCATCGTAGTGCATCGAAAGTCTTCCTCCTTTCTAATGATCTGTCCAGACCTGTCTCTTGACTATTTGCTAAGCACCCTTCCTAAGAATCTCGATTCAAAGGTAACCACCGAGGTCTCTGGTTTCCTAGAATGGAAGTTCCAGAAGAAAGGGAAGTGTTGATGAAAAGATGGCTATCATTCTGAACCTTGAAGGCCAATCTGCCTTCCGTAGAAGTGCACCAGATGGTAACTGGATCCGTGTTTCTCTTTGTTTCCAGCTGGTTGGTCGGCCGGTGATGACTCCATACTGGGCCTTGGGATTCCAACTGGGATGCTATGGATACCAAAATGATTCTGAGATCGCCAGCTTGTATGATGCGATGACAGCAGCCCAGATTCCCTACGTACGGAACCCCCATCCACCTGTGATCTGTGGTCTACGAGTGACTGGGCGGGCGGCCAGCTGCCGATGGGAAACATGTTCATAGCAATTACAGATGTGACTGCATGTCAGTAAGAGAAGAAAATGTAGAGATAGCTGGTGTGAACATTTATTCCTGCTCACTCTTGAACGTGAAGGTCAGAGGCAGTATTACATCCACCTTTCAGCTGGCCGTGCTGGGAAAAGTGGGGCTGGGGTCTTCCGGTCTCTTGTTGGGAGTCTCCTACAGGAGCTATGGATGGGCTTAGCCCACCGCTCTGAGCTTCTAAGAAAGAACCAGAGTCCCTTTGTGGCACAGATGGCAAAGTGCTTGGCCACAAACAGAAAGGTCAATGGTGAAAGGTCAGTGGTTTGAATCAAACCAAAGACTCCTTGGAAGAAAGGCTTGGCTGCCATCAGCTTCCCAGAGGTCATGGCTGTGGAACCCTGCGGAGCAGTTCTGCCCTGAAACCTGGGGTTTCCGTGAGTGAGAATGGACCCAAGGACCAGGGCACTGTCACTGTTCTTGGAGATGGTGATGTCAAGTGACAATGTGAAAACACAAAACCAGCTGGCAGCAAGCCTTCACTTTCTCTAAGACATGCATGGATCATAGAACACATATCCTACAAGGATGTCATGGCTCCCAGTTAACATATATCCAACAATGAGGTCATGGCTCCCAATTAACATGTATCCTACAGTGATGTCGTGGCTCCCAGTTAACATGTATCCTACTATGATGTCCTGGCTCCCAGTTAACACGTATCCTACAGTGATGTCATGGCTCCTAGTTAACACATATCCTGCATTGATGACACGGCTCCCCATTGAGCCACAGGAGTCACCTAACTGCCACCAACCATAGAGACCAACGGGTGGGGTGCTCTTTCCCCCGGCATCCTGCATTCCTCACTGCCCCATTCCCTTTTCTGCTTGGAAGATGAGACTAAAATGGCATCTTGTCATCCAAGATAGCTTGACACAAACATCCAGATTCAAGCTGCTATGTGCCAAAATTCTACTAGAAACTGTAATTTTTATTTACTCCTATCAGATGTTCTTATTAAACCAAAACAAACAGACAAACAAAAGCCCACTTGCCATGGCGTCGATCCAGGCACACAGCTATGCTAAGGGGCAGAGGAGAACTGCCGCATGGCGTTTCTGGGACTGTAAATATCCACAGGAGCAGACGGCCCCATGGTTCTCCTGGGGAGTGCCCCCTGGATTTGAACTCCTGACCTTAAAGTTGGGAGCCCCGTGCTTGGCCCACCGCACCATCAGGATCCTTATTAAATAGGCATTGAAAGAGATAAGAACTTGAAAAATTAATAAATTTACCCTACCAGAATGACCCACATTAAAATGTTCGTGCATCATTTTCTCGGCTTTGCCTTACACACGGGTCTCCTCACCTCCACACAAGTTCTTACTGGAGTCTTAGTGACGATGCCACCCAGGAAGCATCCTTTTCTCACCTGCATGTTGACTTCTTTTGGCATCAATCAGCATCATGGGCCGAGTTAACCTCATGTAGAGGCCAGGTTAGTCCAGGCTGACCTCCGAGATGCTGTGGGCTTGGCTCTGGTTCCCCACAATAAAACAAATATGGCAATAAAGCAAGTCACAATTGTTTGGCATCCCCCAGCATAGAAAAGCTATGCTTATGTTGTACTATAATAGATTAGAGGGGCTCTGGTGGTGTCGTGGTTACATGTTGGGCTGCAATCTGCAAGGCCGGTGGGTCAAGACCACCAGCCCCTCCATGGAAGAAAGATGAGACTTTCTACCCCTACAAAGGTCTACAGTCTCTGAAACCCACAGGCTGGTTCTGTTCCTTCCCATCTGGTTGCCATGAGTAGGAATCAGCTTGGTGGCAGTGTGTTTGTTTTGGGTTTGGGGAGTCTGGGGAGTGTGTGATAGCATGGTGACAAAGTTAGAAAGGTTGTGGAATGACCACAATGGGACACAGACACAGTGAGCACATTCTGTTGGGTAAATGGATCTGATGGGTGTGCTTATTGAAGGGGGGCTGAAAACCATCAATCACACCCCCAAACGTGCTGTATCTGTGAAGTGCAGCTTAAGCAGGAGGTGAGGCGCAGTGAGATGTGCAGGCAATGTGGCCCTCACCTTCAGGACCACCCCCTCTCAGGAGGATGGCAGAGGTCCACACACTTCAGAGAGGACCAGCATCTTGCCGTTCTGAACACACACATGCAGGCAGGCCACTGTAGGCACAAAAGACCCAGATGCACCACCATTTCTCTTACTGAGTCGTCCGGCTCTGTGCCCGTATTGAATCAGGCTCCAGGAGTCTGGGATTTGATGAGCAGGAATGAACGTGGAGGGAAAGGTGGGGAGAGAATTGCGTTTGGGGACAGCCGAGAAGGAAGGTGCGCTGTATGCATCAGAAGAATGGAGACCAGGGCAGGAGATGAAGGAGGAACCAGTGTGAGGTGCCAGGGTCTGGCAAGGGGTCCTGGTGCTCCGGACAGGGGGCAGGGGTTCCGTGGTCCTGAGCGCTGGTTCTCCCTCCTACAGGACGTGCAGCATCTGGACATGGACTACATGGACCGGAAGCTGGACTTCACCCTCAGCCCCAGATTCAAAGGCCTCAGCCAGCTGATTGACCGGATGAAGAGAGATGGCATGAGGTTTATCGCCACTCTGGTGGGTGTCTGGACAGGTTTGGTTCTGTGCTGTTTCTCTAGGACAGTTTCCCCAGTTCTATCACCATGGGAGGCCAGGTGGGGACTTTTTTTTGTAACTCCCTGTGGTTCTATATGGGAGAACGATGGGGTTATGGTCTTAGAAACTCATGGGGGCAATTCTACCCTGTCCTGTAGAGTTGCTGTGTTTGTCTGGGTTGACGAGAGAAACAAATCCAGAGATACTCATCTGTGTGTAAGAGAGGACTTTATATCAAAGAGAAATTTTACATTAAGAAACCATCCCAGCCCAGTCCAGATCAAGTCTATAATCTGATATTAGCCCATATGTTGATACTAGTCCATAAATTCCTCTTTAGGCTCATGCAACACATGCAATGATGCCGAATGCAGGAAGATCACAGGCCAGTGGGTGGAAAGTCTTGTGGATTCAGTGACACAGTCCTGGCGTGGGTCTTCATGTGGCTCCTCCAGCTCCAGGGCTCTGGCTACACCAGTGTAGCTCCATGTGGCATGTCAACAGGAAGGTCTCCCAGGGAGATGAGGCAGAGGGAGTGTCTCTCTCCTCCAGGGAAGAAGACAGGAGTTCCCAGAATCCTCAGGAGAAGGCCGTGCCCCACGGAGGCCTCATTGACTATGGCCTGATTGATAGGCTAGATTCCACCCCTTCACTCTGAATAGTCTCAAGTTGACACCAGATTATGCAACTCCCACAGTCTTGCTACAAGTCGGCATGGGCTTGATGGCACTGAGAGAGGGCGGCTTTCCTTGGAGCCCCTCCTCCGCTGGGTGAAGTGGTGAGTGCTCCGCTCACTCACTCCCTGCCATCGCGCCGCCGCCGCCTTGGAGACCCGTGTGGACGTTCCACTCTGTCCTGCAGGGTCACCCAGAGTCAGAACCGACTGACTCCACGGTGGCGGGTGGTGGTAATCTGGTGAGGTGACACAGCAGGGGATGTTAGTTAGCCCTGGTCTTTGGTGTCGAGGCACTTCTCTGCTCAGAGTCAGGAAAGGACATTTCTAGATGTGCGTCCACTCTTGCTGTTTTAAATCCTTTTCCCACAGGACCCCGCCATTTCTGGCAACGAGACCGGATACCTCCCCTTCACCAGGGGCCAAGCAAGTGACGTGTTCATCAAATGGCCCGGTGGCAAGGACATTGTCTGGGGGAAGGTAAGGTATCTGTGACTAATCGGTGTCATGGTTGTCCTGAATGAAAGGTGCTCCCCAGACATCCCTGCAATTAACAGGTGATGACCGAGGAGAAGGCTGAATCGGAGGCTAATGAGCTCAGAGACACTGGGCCCACCAAGGAGAGAGGCCCAGTCCTCCACACCAGCATCCACCTGGAGCTGTTCTGCTCTGTCCCCATCACTGTGCCCCCGCCATTTACTTCACACACACAAGGGAGCATCTCCAGGGGGAAACTGGGATCAGCGTCGCCCAGGGCCCCACGCTCCAGATGTGCTTGATCAGCCTCTGAATCTGGGGTCCCTGGGGGCAGCACAAGCTGTCTGCTGTCGGCTGCTAACTTGAAGGTTGACAGCCAAGCCCACGGAGCAGCAACTTGGGAGAAACCTTGGCAATCTACTCCCATGAAGAGTGCGGTCAGGCTAACCCGTGGGACTGACCAGTTCTACTGAGATGAACACAGGGTCCTTGTGGGTTGAGATTGGCCCAACGGCAGTGGACAGCCGCGTGTTGGATCAGCCAGTGTCTCCTCTGTGAAGGAGCCTCGGGTCTCATGCTCGTGGTTCTGTGGTGCTGTAGCTCGATGCCTGATTCCAGAGGAGAGGACGTGGACTCTGTCCTCTCGACGTGAGACACCCTGCTTCTGTTTCCTGTTGCTCGGGCCGGGGTGCTTGAATGCTGCTTTGTCAGCTCAGCTAAACAATACCCGCACTTCCAGAACTAACCTAGGCTTTACCCAATAAGGTTGTAAGGATGAACCTGGCTATGCCTGTGCCTGTTTGTGTCATAACCCTCAGAAGACACAGCGCAGCTCCAAGCTCTTACTGACTGTGGTGGGCTGGCTTCTCTAGAGAAGCAACGCCATTGGTGCTTGTATGCTTCTGTCTGTAGAAAGAAAGGGGTGAGTCCAGTCCAGCTTAAGCCTATGGCCAGATGTAAGCTGGAGGCTTTTCCTGGCTTGTGTAGCTACAGAAGCTGATGGACAGGAAGCAGGGGGATGAAGCAGAAAGATCACAGGCTGGTAGGTGCTGAGCTGTATGAGTCTGAGATCAGCCGAATGAATCCAAGGTTGGCAGTCTGTTGGGGCTCCTGAGATCGTCAAGCAATATGGCAGGAAACCCATGGACCAGATGCAGATGGAAGTGAGCTAGCTTCCACACGTGGTCAGTTTATAAGAAGAGTAGGTCACACCCTGAATGAGGCCTCCCTTCATCCTATCAAGATTTCCACCAGATGAAGGGGCAGATACCCTGTTCTCCTCACAACTGCTCGGCTGCTTCCAAGAAGATCCCATCATGAGTTGGCCACACAATAGATCACAGCATGGGTGGGGGGGGTCCTGTCCCACCCACATTGCCATAGAACCTAACCATCACACTGACCGGCTAAAACTCTTAGAATGATAAGTGCTCAGTGAGGGGATCACCAGAAGAATCAATTAACAAATGTATGAGGCGCCTTCAAAAAATTCATGGACAATGGAATAAAAAGATATGTGGCTAATAAATATGGGTAATACGATTCTTCTAGTTGTAGCCAAAATGGGTGACTTTATTATGGATTTTAAGGTTTTATAGACTGGTGACCCACACCCCGAACCCATTGCCATTGAGTTGATTCTAACCTGTAATGACTCGATGTAGGGCGTCTACATCGGTCCACCTGTACAGGAGCACACAGTCTCTCACTTGCTATCACAGATGGCGGGTTTGAATAGCCGATCTTTAGCACGTAGACTGGGGAACCCCAAAAGTTGATCATACAGCTTAGAAACACTGAGCTACGGTTTGATGAACTGTGCCTGGACCGCTGTCTCATTTTGATAGAGCCACGCTTCACAGTTGTCGACCGTGGAGGGGGGTTGTGGTAAGGAGCTGTGTTCTCCCAGCACAAAGGTGAGCCATCGTTTCTAAGGTGGCAGTCCAGGGGGTCTGTTTCAAGTGGATTAATTTGATGACTAAGTTAGAAAATGAGATTTGAGGACTGTAAGGAGTAAAGAGCCCTGATGGTGTGGTGGGTTACACGTTAGGCTGCTAACTTCAAGGTCAGCAGTTCGAAACCACCCACGTCTCTGAGATTGAAACGAGGAGGTTTTCTACTCCTACAAAGAGTTGCAGTCTCAGGAACTCACAGGGACACTTCTACTCTGTCCCGTAGGGTCGGTGTGAGACGTCATCGACTGGATGGTGCTGTGTTTGTTGCTGTTGTGTTCATGGATGAGCTCAGGGAGGCATTCTGGTGCTGTGGACCAGGCCTTGGGCGAGTAACCACAAGATCAGCTATTCAAACCTGCCAGTCAGCCGCTCCTCCGGAAAAAGATGAGGGTGTCTGATTACATTAAAGTTTGACAGTCCTGGAAGCCCTAGATCCAGGCTGGGGAACGATTTTTCTGCCAAGGCCCAGCTGGATATTGATAACGTCAATCTTGGGCCATACCGAGCAACATTTGACCGACTTGCCCCGTGTGCTCTATTTGGTGAGATGACTGATGTGAGCTAGTATTGATGAGTTCAGGGGTTTTATACGGCTTGCAGGCAGGAAGTTCCCCATCCCTGAGCTAGACAGAGTTGCTCTCAGTTGGAATCGTGTCCAGGGAAGTGGGATGAAGGAGTGAGTCTAGAGACCCCGCCCCGACCCCCTCACAAGCCCCTCACTTTTATCTTTCTGGTTTAACAGCCAAGACCCACGGGCATTTTCAGGACTTGCGACTCTCTGGGTGGCCCCTAAACTCCTTCAATGCATCTTCTTTCTCCCTAGGCCTGGCCAGACCTGCCGAACGTTCTTGTGGATGGCTCCCTCGACCAGGAGACTCAGGTGAAGGTATGCTTGTCCACTTGGCCCTGACATCTGGCTCCTTGGGCATTTCATCCCGATGCCAGGTACCTTTGACCTGACCATGCAGGTATTTTAAGGAGGGGGAGGCTCTCGGCAGAGAGAGGCCGTCAGATAAAAAACACAACCAACAAGCCAAGGGAAAACGGGGGCAGGAAGTGGCAAAGGGTAGCCCTGCTTTGCTAGAAACCCTGGCTGCTTGAAAAGAGAATGAACCAAAGTTCTCGTGCACCTCCCACACAATGGTTCCATTACGAGCGGACTGGGTTCTGATGACAGCAGATGCAAACCCTGGACCTCAGCCCTGGCTGGTGCTGCCGGGGCCCTGGCATCTGTCCTCTGCATGCTACAGCAAGTTTGTCCCTGGACAATGGAGCCTCCTGTGTTTGGCTGGTGTAGTCATCTCTCAGAGGCCCTTGTTCAGACACCGACTGCTTACTTCCCAGTTTTCCATGTGCACCAGTCCTAAAATAAAGTTCATACGAACTTCTTTTAGGACAGTAGTGGGGAAACTTTTTTCTGCCAAGGACCATTTGGGGATTTAGAACATCATTCTTGGACCAGACTGATCAAACATTGAATTACCCCCCTATGAAGAGCTACCATCTTGGAAGCCCACAGGGGTCTTCTACCATGTGGGATCGGGTCCTTATGAATCGGCATGGATGTGATGGCAGTGAGTTTGTTTGTATTTTTGGTTTAATGTGATGGCCGGGACTGCTCCTCTTTGGTGTGGCGGTGTGATGTCATAGCTGATAGTGATGACGTTGTGGGCCAGACGTTCCCCACCCCTGTTCTAAGAAAAGAGAGCACTGGATCTGCCCCGTGTAGTCTCTTTGTAGGACTGACGTTCAAGTGGATGAGAGGCTAGGTTAGAGACTGAGGGGCTGTGCTCCGTCCAGGCACCTGCCCAGCTTCCCTGGCTGCCCAGGACCCCTCCTGATCGAGTGCCCAACTCCCCCAGCTGTACAGGGCCTATGTGGCGTTCCCCGACTTCTTCCGGAACAGCACGGCTGCGTGGTGGAAGAGGGAGATCCAAGAGCTCTATGACAATCCCCGGGAAGCTGAGAAGAGCCTGCGGTTCGATGGGCTGTGGCTGGTGAGTGCATTGGGTTTGTGCTGGTGCTGTGGGAAGGTTGGGGCTCCACCCAGAGTCCAGCAGAGCAGCAGGCAGGCCTGAGGGACCCGAGGGATGGGAGGGGTCCAGTGACATCTGTGGGCCCACCCATGGCCACAATACCCTTGACAGTTGAAATCCATGGAAAATGCTATTGGAACAAGAGCAGAGGAGGCCCCCCACAAGGTGGTGCCTCCCAGAGGCCATGAGTACTCAGAGCCTATGGGAAGATGGAGGAGCCTGAGACCACCTGCTCTCCGGGGGAGCCAGGAAGCACTGTGTACCCAGCGGCCCCAGCGCAGGACCTCCTGGCACCTAGGGGAGCTGCCCAAGGACACCCCTAAAGCAAACCCGCTTCCCAGCTGATTCTGACTCGCAGCGCCCCTGTAGGACAGGGTCCAGGTGCCCCCTTGGCCTCTGTAGGTGTCTTTGTACTTCCAGGAGCTCTGGGAGCTCAGTGATTAAGTGCTCAACCACTGACTCAAAGCTCAGTGGTTTCAACCCCCCAGCCGGCCCCACGGGAGAAAGCAGTGGCTCTCCTGCGCCCTTCAAGGTAGGCGGGCTCAGATCCCCTGCCGCCCGGTGCCGCTCCATTGCCACCGGGCCTATAGGATGTGTTAGCTGCTCTGGAGGGTGAGGAGGCTGCCTCCTCTTTCTACTGCAGAGCTGCCAGTGGGTTTGAATCACTGCCCTGTCAGCTAGCAGCCCGACGCTTAACCGCCTGGGCCACCATGCTCTTCCCCCAAGATCTATGTTTATTCTTGATGCATGAAACATAAAGATTCCATACTGAATACATGGTATTCATTAAGTCAACGAAGGGCAAATTTACATCAAGTTTAAGTGACGCTGTTTGAAATATAAATATGCAGATTTTATCATGGAAATAAATCTCCATTGTGCTTCTGCGTCCGGAATGTTAACCAAACCTAGAATTTTTAAAAACCCATTTACTAAAATAATTTCCATACTCCAACTCCAACTCCAGAGCTCA